AATCCTAATATGCCCTTCTGAAAAAAAAACCCTCCCAATATGCCCTCCCTCCTCAAATGCCTTATCCATATAATACACTATGATGTGCTCCTTTCATTCCTTGGACAGTCTGTAACAAACTTGTGTCCTTTCATGGGTTGTTCACATGCCCTGCATTTTGGTGCTGCTTTAGACTTCTTTTGGCTCTGTTCAACAACGTAGTAGTGAAACTACAGTAACAAAAAGATTTATATTAACAGCAAGCATACTGGGTAACTTATCTATGGGCCACAGGCAGTGGGCAACACTTTGCAAAGACACCGTACTCTTTGAGTTGCTTGGCTGCCTTTTTAAGATCATCTTTGGTAACATTGAGAAAAGTTTGAAATATTTCTTCGACATAATCTGTACAAATCAAACATGGGTATATATATATACATGGGTACATGGTATGCATTGATCAATATTTCACTATAATTATTTTGACAGTCAAATATGATACCCTCCTCAGACATCCTTAAAATACACACCTATGGGTCATAGTGGGCATATTGACTTCACTAAAACATAGGCATAGCAAGAGACATAGATGGAGAATTATATCACTGTATAATACTATATCAAATTGCACACGGAAATTACAAAAATCTGCAAGACTGAAGACAGAATTAATGACAAAGAAAGCTCTCACAGACTAAACGAAATTGTCTTTTTTATATGCTTTACCCAATTACTGTATATCAGTTTAAGTGTTAGCATGTTATATAATGATATGTTTATTAATTAAATCAGTTTAGTCAAACAAATTCAAGTTACGCACAATTATGTTAAAATACAAAATTAGCATACCATTCGCTTGTATCTGTCTGAAACTTTCTGTGCGTCAGCTGATGGCATGATTGTTGGGAATACACAAATTCCGATCTCGTTCCTTTTGAGCCATCTGTTGCCAACGAAGCTTTCACCTTCGACATGGGAAAACCGTCGCAAAAAATCCTCGGGCTTGAAATGCTCAGAGCATATGACTGAATACGACGTCGGCGTCCATTTTGCACGTTTGAGGCTTATTACGAAGTCAGTCCATTTCTTTCGTCTTTTTCGCTTCGGGCCGTTCGTCCCCCGAATAAGAAATTGTATGCAACGATATTTCTTTTTCCTTATCTCCTATGTTGTTACAACCGGCAACAACGCATTTTCTCGCCGTTCGCATGCCTAACAAACTCGCCTAGCACTGTAAACACTTGTGTTGACACAACAGCCGGTTCACCAATTGACGTCACAAGCCCAGATCATCGGCGCTCGCTCGTGGGACAAAATGGCGTCGATTTTAGGGCAATTTTTCAAACTTTGAGAAGCCATAGAATAGCGAGAATTCAACCGATTAAATTTTTTTTTTCATTTTTGTACTCCGTAAATAGCGGTTATTGATTTTATAAAAAGAAAATTTAGGGGGTTAGTGGCACTTTAACTATAATAGCTTTTTGAATATATGTGAATATATTTTTTATTTATTCCTTGTTCAGGAAAGATAGCTTTGACTGTGGTTAACGAAGACAAAGTGTATGAGACCATATACACAAATGAAACTGTCTATTCACTTATTGGGCCGGAGGGATGCATTGCTGTGGACATTTCTCTTGGTAAGAGAGGCACCGAGGCTGTAGTGGAAAGTGTGTATTCCGCTATGGGATCGCAGAATCAATTGGGCCCAATTTCGAATGAAACCTTAACATTGAGGTACAGTTAAACTTTATTCACAATACAAACTTAGTTTGAAAGATCAGGCATTTGTAAATCAAGTGTAAGATTATTAACTTACTTACTGCGTGATTATTAAACTAATAAACTTCAAAACAGCTACTTAACATCCAAATACAATTTAATTTTTGAAGGACAAAAATTAACTGGCGCATGCCAACCGCATTGACGGCCGAGCGAGCAGTGAAGGAAATTGCTAACATATACATCAAAGGCGACAAAGAAAAGGGGCTAAAGTCCCACATTTCGCCTGTTATTCAGAGCGCCGTTCGTGGAAATCGGTGAGTCAATATTGTGTATACTTATAATAATAAAAATGCTGATGTTCTTCACAAGTATTTTAAATTTATATACGTGTTGAATTTAACACTTTTGCAGGTTTCAATACAGCAAAGTTATTGACAGCAAGATCACCCCCAAGACTGTCAGATTGCCTTTCCTGAGTATAAAAAAACTATAAGTATAAATAATTTCAGTTTTATTCAACAGAATAATACGGATTGTGATAAAAGAGTTTGTGTCTTGTGATAATTGTTAATTGATATTAGCCATTTCCCAATCGAGCAGAGGACTGGGTCTAGTCGCTTGTTTGGTTTGCTTGAAGTTTTCCTACATTCCTAAAGTTATTTATTGCAGCCTGAAACGCAACAATTATAATGATAAGGCATCTTTTAATATAATATCTAGCTCGCTCACTATAACTTGTTGACATGTTGTCCCTCCAAACGTCCCTTCAAACATCAACTAGACTCAGTCCTCTGCTCGATTGGGTATGTCGTTCCAAACGTGACAAAATATCAAGTCTACATATTTACATCAAGTTGTTTGTTGAATACATCAAGTTGCTTGTTGAATACATCAAGTTGCTTGTTGAATACATCAAGTTGCTTGTTGAATACATCAAGTTGCTTTGTTCAATACATCAAGTTGCTTGTTGAATGCATCAAGTTGCTTTGTTGAATACATCAAGTTGCTTTGTTGAATACATATGCCGTTCCAAACGCGACAAAATATCAAGTATTCAAGTTTACATATTTACATCAAGTTTTGTTTGTTGAATACATCAAGTTGCGTGTGTCTTACATCAAGTATATCAGAGTAAAATAATTCAAGTTGGCGTTGTTGATATTTATACATCAAGAAGGGAGAGGACCGATTTTGATCAGGTCGAAATTTCAACTCATTATTATTCAACAATAAACTGGAGGGGGGAAGGGTGTTGAAAAATCTCGGACAAATATTTCACGGGGGGTGAAAGAAATCATTCAATAAACAAGACGCTTGCTAAGCGTTTACTCGAGCTAAAGATTTGCAAAATATCTGCGTATTCAGCGTATTCGCATCAAGATCCTGTCAAGATTTAATACATTTTACATTTTAGCTTACTCCTATAAATTGCATTATTTACAAGATAACCGACCGTGTTTCTTGTGGCGCAGTGGTTTAGGCGCCCGCTTGCGAGGCACGGCCCTATAATCTATGGCACGGCTCCCGGGTTCGAGTCCCGTATTAAGCAACAGTTTTATTTTCAAGTTAAAAAATTTTTTCAACTTCTTTTGAGTATGATTTTAAGCTTAGGTCTTAGGATTAGGAGTTAAGGTTTTGTGGGGTGGGTTTAATTTTTTTAAGAGAATATTTTAACACTTTTAATAGGACTAAGTTCCCTGACTGCTGGACACACTGCCCGACTGCCGCATGAAGATGTACAGCCGGTACGACCATATCCACACGACTATATAGTCGGTAAAGTATGCGGGTAAATGGCGACTGTCAGTCGCGCATCATGTACACTTCCAATCCAAACGCTAATCCTAACCCTAATCCTAACCCTAATCCTAACCCCTGACCCCTAACCCCACCTGCTAACCCCGCAACCTAACCGCAAACCCCAACCCCGGCCAGCTACCCCTCCGGGGAAACTATCCTCCCGCCTCCCCACTATCCACCAAGCAGGGGCAGTTACACTTATAACTAAAACTTCTGTGCAGTG